TTGCAGCAGCGGCTGGACTTGGACCTGGGGCTTAGACTCCAGACGACCGAGAACACGCTCACTCTTGAAAACCTCCTCCAAGGCCAGCTCCACATGGTTGGTCTCGTCCAGCACACCCTCCTTATCCAAAGACACCTGCACAGACTGAAGGTCTTTAACAATGTTACCGAGAAAATGAATTTTATATGCCAAGTCGTCTTGATCGAGGTCACTTCCCAGGCGGTACTCCCTTAGGTCATTTGTCAACTTGGTGACCTTACCTCTCAACCTTGCACGAGAGGCCTTTGCCTCCTCCATCACAATCACTCCGAAAGCACACAAAAAATAAGCAAATCCGGCGACCCGCCGCAAACCAATCTTGATCTCAATCTTGAAAACCAATCAACAAATCTTGACGGTGTACCACCGCACAGAGCAAGATCAAAATCACTGAAAAGATCAGCCATCCGGCCCGGAGGACCAGCTGTTGAAAGTTACGTTACGTTAATGTAGTTAAATCGGTTGAATCTTCGGTCGGTATCCCTCTGGTAGCATCGGTACGCACAAACAGCACGGCGTCTCACAGGTGACTCTGTATTGTTGCGTGTGGCGCCACTGGGCTCAACTCAGTTTACCAAATAAAAATGGCAGCAATCACTTAGGGGTAATTTTCGGCGATGAAAGTATTTAGGGGAAACTCGCGCTGTGGAAAGCGTAGTCCGACCACCACCATCCCGAGCCTGCAGTGCACGCAGCGTGCCGCCGTCACCCTGCAATCTGCATGGCTCTCCCAGTCCGCGCTGTGGTCCGTGTGGCCGACTGATTTGGGAGCTGTCGCTACTCGGGTGGCCGGCACATAATGAGAATCGACGGGCGCCGATAGTGCCCCAGGAGTGTTACCGTATCACGGGGGAAGGGGGGGGGGTAACTGAGTGCGCGGCGATCGGATCACATCGTCAGACTCTTGGTGGCCCAGTTACGACTCACATTACTGATATCCTTACCGCCTTCCACTAACAGCGCTTGCCTTTGAGAACTGGTTAGACATGCAGGCTACCTTACATCACTGATGCGTCCCTATCGGCCATCGTCTCAAACACTCCTTTGTCTTTTTCTCTGATCCTGATTCTCCCGAAGCTCGCATATGCTGTCCTGTATTGATATTGACCCCTGACGCATATTGACCCCTTGCCACGGAGGCGGTACAACCACTGCACCGTGGGGACTTATGCCATCCTAGCACGCATTAAGTGGCAAGTTAAAGTATTTCGATTTCCACTTTTTTGTTATTCATTCCACGTAGAATTGTCCAGCGCATCCGAATCACACCTTAAATCGTCTGTAAAATGATTGTTTATGCCTCAAAAAACCTCTCAAAGTGTAGCTTCGTCCTGACCAGCGTCGTGCTACCTGCATACAGCGAAAAAGCACACTACAATAAAACGCCCTCTCACTCGTTTCCCTGAACAGCAGGTTAGTTGCGACATGTTTTCATTATCTTATAAGGAAGATGGTATGCACGAAAATTTCCAAAATTCATCCAAATGTATAATTTTTGACCAAAATGCTAAAAATATTAAAATGCTTCTTGATTCAGAGTTGACAAGCAAACTATTCCCTTACAAAGTTTGATACGCGGTGGTACGCGTGGAAATGTATATCAAAATGTTCTCCAATAATTTCTGCATCGGGGCAGCTCTCATTTTTTGCCGAAATTTGCCTAAACCAGTCACTATGAGACGTCAAAGCAGACGGTGCCGCGTGGTTTCGTACGCCCCGCCGGGCCGCGCCGCGGCGGGTTACCCGACCGCAGCACACCGCCTGGGGGTTTCCGGTCAGTGTAGGAGTTGGGAGGAGGGAGAAGGGGTGATACCATGTTGACATTATTTTTCTATCGCCAAATGTTCTTTTTGAACAAAACAACAACACCCTTGCAACGCTGCGTCCATTTTATTGGCTACCGCCGCCAATGTTCACCTTATTGAACTTCAGTACAGAGCTTTAATATACATATGTAGGTAAATCGAAAAATGCTGTAACTTTGTAAAGTGAGGTTGGAGGTTTTTGGGGTGCTAATCACGAATTTCAAGCTAGTTTTGATCAAGGATGATGTTTTTATGCTAGGCCGGGTCAGGTCAGGCCCGACCAGTAGGTGTCTTGCAGGCTATCCATAGAAGGTAGGCGTCGATTACCTTTGACGGCTTCGTAGCATGTTCCGTCAGGCACCAAAACTACTTAAATCTTCAAATGGGTGTTAAGTTCGAAATAAGCTCCAAGCACTTATCTGGAAAAATCGTATACCTTGAAAAAGTCAACTAAGGTCATCTAAGGTAAATGACCTTGATTTGACCTTAACGTGACCTTAAAATGCAAAGAACAAACAGCATTTCATACCTTGGAGAGTTAACAATCACAACAAGACTGAAAACGCGCCGATAATGTGCGCTGATAGCGCCAAATCGATACCAGCCTGACATGGTCTGGTGAAACAGGTCACAGGTCAAATTTTTATTATAAGGTCAAGGTCATGAAATTTTAAGTGTGTGAGTAACATTGATCGAATCGAAGGTATAGAAAGTTTCGTCGTGATCCGCCACGTTTTGCTTGAGTTAGTATGTGAAAAGTCGAGGACAGAAGTCTGTGCGACCCCCTCCCCTTTAACCCTCGCCCTGGCAGGGGGGGGGGGTCGATGCGACCCCCCCCCCCTAAGGTTTTTCGAAGATAGCGTAAAAACGGCGGCGCGCAGCGCCGCCAAATTTGGCACAGCCTATGGGGCAACCTTTTTACATATGACCTGAAAATTTCAGGTCCGGGTGACCTTAGGTCAGGTCACCAGGTCAGAAAACCGGTACAAGGTCATGGTCAAATTTCAATTTTCTTTGTGCACCTGTCCAACTCACAGTTTTGCACTGATTTCCTTCAAACTTTCAGGATGTGCTAAGTTCACCGAGTTGTATAACATATAGTTCGGGTTTTTTGAGGTCACTGACCTGAGGTCAGTTAGAGGTCATTACGTCGTAATGTTAAGCCTATGGGAAAATACTAAATTCGGAAAATACTGGAGATATCCGCTTCGTTCTATCACTTTTGTGCTTTGAAACCACAGTACTTAACAGCAGGTCACTTGGTGCTTCTTTGTTTGGTGTACTTATCCATGGGTCAGGTCAAATGAGGTCAACTGAGGTCAAATGACGTTTTTGCCAATAACTTGGCACATAATGACGCTAGAGCTTAGAAAATGGTACCATTGTGTTCCTGGTGATCAGCCGAATCGAATGATATGCGATATGATGCAATTTGGTTAACCTGAACTTAATTTATTAATTTAAGTTTACTTAAAATTTAAGAAAAACTTTAAGTACACTTAAGCAAGCTACAAAGTATATCATTCGACGCGCCTTGACGTGCTGAGTTCACTGGTGCTTTTCTTTTTGCTCTATCTTAATTAGATCAAAAGTTATAAGCGAAAAACTTTTGACCTGTTTTTAGCGAAATTTTTACATTTATACCCCCCAAAACCCCCCTAAATATTGACCTAGAGCAACCAAATTTGCACAGGGGCGAGAACTCCAGGGGGCCCACCTACCTACCAAATTTGGTGTTTCTAGGTGCCATAGGAGCCAATCGCGAGGGGGGGGGTCGCATCGACCCCCCCCCCCCCCCTGCCAGGCCGTGTTATGAAAAATGCCCTGCCAGGGCGAGGGTTAAGTGCAAGGACTAACAAAGTGCCCGAAATGCCTTTTGGTGATTGGGCTAGACATGAACAAATATCTACTTCTAAAACGATTGTAGTTTCGTTCTACCTTTTTAACGCTTCCACGCCCACGATGCATTGCTAGCCGAAAACGCATCAGTGCTAAGTCCGTGGGGAGGGGGCGGGGAGGGATGGGGTCAAGCAGGAGAGCCAACCATGTTGTCAGGGATCATACACCCTTAGCCTAACCATTTGAAGGTGAAATAAAATTAGTTAAGGTAGCGGAGGATGCGATATAAATAAATTCGTGCTAGGATCGATAAAAACCCCACAGTGCACTGCTCCGACGACTCGCCTTGGACATAGGACGTTCGTTCTGATCGGTCGCCGCGCCGTTCAATGTAGAAGTTAGGCTACTGGGCTGAGGAGACGCCGGGAGAAACTGGAAACCAAAGTGAGTTACGTTCGCAGCTGCTGAAATTCCTGGCCAGATGGGCCCGCTGTTAGTGCCGAGAAGTTTGGACTGATGGATCTCCGGTTCATCACAGCGTCGGGAGATATATTGGCGACGCTGATTGACACTGCTAGTGCTCGTATTAGACGTTAGTATGCAAATGGGGTGTTGCAGGTTTATAAAGGCTTGTCAAAATATATGTTTTGGGAATATATAGGTGTTTTCACAGCCGTATAACTGCGTTGAGGCTCAGGCTGTCATAAAAGGCTAAGTTAATATGGAAAAGACACGAGTTGGTTGGCTTTTCAATTTGAAGGGCTGGTGCTGTTTGGTATCATTTTCCACATTTTCTTTTTTTCTTGCCACATTTGTTGACCGACCGACCCTGTTGCTCTTTGTTGACCGAGCGTTGTGGATTACTTGAAAAAGCGACTGGGAGCACAGCACAGCTTGTGATCGCCTGTGTTGGTCTTTGCCACTGACCAGATTAGACCGACACTGAGCTAATGTCTGGGCTCAGAAGTCCACGGTAATGTCTCGTCTGCAGGCAGTAAACAGTTTATGGAAGAATTACCCGCACGTGTTCGGTAGATATACAATACATGTAAGCCGCTTATTTGTGACACAAAGACTGCCTATAAGATTTGTAGTTGTCCAGTTGTGGATCGCTTAGGCTACGTCTAAGACACAATATACTTGGTGCGCGGCGTTTTCTGTGCATTTTGTAGTGAGATCGATAATGCCTGAAAATACGTGCTAAGCAATATCCATTCATTAATGTGGCTGGTTTTTCGTAAGGCAATGGATGTGGACAGTTAGCGAGCCCGTGCATCAATGACCTCTGAGACTAACAACATGTCGTCTCTGTTTCAGCTTTGGAGAGAAAGATCTCTGTCCGAGCGGCCCGTGAGGACCTGGTGAAAAAGGGCATCCTACTACCGGAGACACCCACCACTCCTAGCGGACCCATGGGAGAGGCGCCTGGTGAGTATACAGGGGCGACATCTATACTGGTGGTGGTGGGGTGCTAGCGCTACCTAGGTCAAGTATTGTACGCTGCCGCAGATGGCAGCACTGCGACCAGATAGTTACGTGTCCGTGGAGTGCACGCATCTCGTAGCATGGTAGGGTATCTGCTGAGGAGGTTCTCGTGGCTGCATATTAAACTGCTGCGGTGCAACTACATTAGTCTAAGTGATGGTGCTTCCGTCACTAGGTAATCAATGCTATGCCCATGAGGGCCCCCCAAACCCACCAGTCTCGGTTCTCAAGTCTCAGCATTAGCACTTGACTGGCAGTGCGCGATAGATATTACGATGAAGAAGAAATAATTAGACCAAAGGAAAAACAACCTGTGAATCGACTTAGCAGCCTGTATATCTCCTTTACCCGTGCCCGCTCCACGTTATATTTGCTGTTCCGGCTCGAGAAAGTGCAGTTTCAGACAGGGCAATGTCGTGCCAGTCTGACAGACAGTACTGCCATGCCCATGACATCCCACCGGTTTTGTTAATCAGTTGGTCTATAACAGCGCTGTAACGAGCCGCCCGTCACGGGGCGCCGTGTGTCCGTTTCGGCGCCGCCCGCCTGAAGTGTCCGCCGCCGCGCCGGTCGGGCTCGCTCGACTCGGCTCGGCGGTGTGCCGGCCGGCTGTCGGCGGCCGCGGTCGGTATTGATCCTCCAGCCAGCGGCGGCGGCGGCGGCGCCTCAGACTGCCGGGAGTGCTCAGCGGCCGCCGCTCGGAGGCCCCGCCGAGAGAGCTGGCACGGCCGAGCTGTCCGTGCCTCCACGGCCGCTCTGCCCCGCGGTCCGACACTCAACTGAACCCAGGGCGGGAACAGTCGGCCATTGGTGGTAACCAAATATTGTGGGAGCTTTGAACTAGGTGCCAAAGTGTTGGGAGTTCGTGGGAACTTTCGAGCATTTGTCAGGACATCGTAGTTTTCCAAATCTCCTTATATTCGTTGAGGATTTCAAAACCTGCGTCTGTTGTCGGCTTTGATTAAAAAGCCGCCTCTGTTATCGTCTTGCCATCAGGGTGCGTCGGTATTTCTCAGGCGGCGGCGGTTCTCTGGTTTCGCGTTATTGTTGCTGCAGGAGTTGGGCGGGAGTTCCCTAATGTGATTGATGACGTTTTTATAATCAGTCGTGATTGCCGCCCCGACTCAGCCTGGCGGCCTGTGCTCGGAGTGTTTTCTGGGGCGCTGGCCGGCCGGCCTCCAGCCCTTTGTGCCACGTGGGTCAATAAGAGCACTGTTTGCCGGAGCTCCAATTGCCGGGCTCGGTACGGACTGTGAGTCGAGTAATCACGGGCCTCGTACAGGCTCACTGCCGACCGTCAGTTGACTGTATGGATTCCGTACGGCTACAGGTCAGAGCGTGGGTCGAGTAATGGTGGAGCCAGTACGGCCTCCAGTACAGACTGAGAGGGCGACCTTGGGGATCCTACTCTGCTTCAGTACAGTACTAGCTCCGTTTGAAGACGGGTTCTCTTTCTGTCAACGTTCTGCTCCGTTCTTTTCTGTCGTGGTCCCTTCTTTTGTTCCATTAACCGTTGTTTCGAAGATACGTGATCGCCGTGACTGTTCTCCGGGTGTGTATGGAGCCGATATTGCTCCGCTACCACCGCTTTCCGTGCCGTCCCGCCGCACTGGGTCTATGCCCGGCCGGCCCTCCGGATCTCTCGTCTGTCTGCGGGCGATAGGCAATCTGAGCTATGTCCGGCGCCGCTGGATGTGCTCGGAATGTGGTTACCGCCCCGCAACCACCGCCCGCCGCTGGTGGAACCACCGCCCACAGCGCCGGTCGGCTTTGAGAGCGGACGGCCGGAGATGTCTCAATCTGTCGGAGATAGGGAAGGGAGAGGCGAGTTGTGGAGGCAGGGCGAGACAGGGTGAGATTGGGATATGGTGTTTGGAGAAGGGACACGGGGATGGGATGTCGAGCGTACGGCGAGTGGAAAAGATTGATGTTTGTGCGGAGGGAGACATTGAGTGAGAGAGGAATAAGAAACATTGGTGGCAGGTGTGCTTTAAATACAGAATCCCATGCAATGAAGATGTGTCTGCAGACATAATGAATGCATATGAAACGTTTATGTCCGCGTGGCTTCATGTGTATGTGCGTTGGTGTATCATTTTGTGTTGTTGTTTTCTTTCTGTGGAGCCTTGTACACAAAGTCATTCAACGCGTTGGTAAGGAGCGAAAACAGCTCGCTCGTTTCTGTTACGGAGGATATTCCTTTGGGTTGTTGTGACACACGAAATCCTTTTGTTTGTGGCTGAAAAAGGATATCGACAGCCATGTTTAGCTGCGCAGTAATATGTTTCGGTATCACAAGAATCGGGCACCATTTTGCAATTATTTTGTGCCAATGTAGAGCACTTATTACTTCCAGTCAAAGACGAGCAAAGCAGTTTACATCCAGAACTAGACTTTTACCAAATCGCGGTGTTTCTCCATTTTCCTTACAATTATTATTTTGTTTAATCTTATAAGCATGATTTAGTGGTATTCAATCAGCCTCAGATTGCAGTATTGGCTCAGGGGTTCTAATATACGATCAAATTCAATTTATCTTCAGTCTACCAGCTCGTATTTATTAAGCAATCTACTGGCTTATTTTAAAAGTATTTATTCATTTGCTCTGTTGCTGATCGGAGACTGGGCTGCCTTTTGGCACTGCGCGCTGTGCGCTCTATTCAGCTGAGTCGGCCGCGGCCGGCTGGTCACGGACCGGTCTGGCTGTGGCCGTCGGTGACGACCCGTCTGCCCCGGCTGCGGGCCGTCCAGCTCTGCGGCCTGTCGCGCCCTCTCCGGCCGGTAATCCAGCCATTCGAACCCCGGTCTCCGCCCGGTGGCCATCTGCTCATATGGGTCCGCTCGGCCGTGTCAGCGTCACCGCGGCTTTACCGCCGGCCCAACGGAGATGGAGGGAAAAGGTCACGGCGGGTAACGCCATTTCATCCCTGGCTCTGGTCCCGGGTCCTTACAGCTGGCTGGAGACACAGTGAGGTGGCCAGATAACGTTAGACAATCCTGGTCCTGGTCCTTAACGCTGCACTTCAGAGCGGCAGGAGCAGAGGTGGGTGGGTAACGCCTCGGCCCTCTGCTCTGTCGTCCGTCTCGGGACACTAGACCTGGTCCTAACCTCCGCGCCGGACGGTCCTGGACGCAGTAAAGGTCGCCGAGTAACGCCTCCATCCGGCCGGATCCGTCCGTTTCCGCCGCCGTGGCGGTATTGTCGGCCGCCCCCGCCCCCGCCCCCGCCCCCGCCCTCGCCGCGGCTGTCGGTGGAGATAGGGCCCTGGCCGGAAAAATGATGAGTGGCCACTGGCCAATCGGGCTCTGTGATGCGTATGTATTGTGCCGCAGCCGATAGCGCCGTGCTGACGGGCTATCGAACGGCGAGTGTGTCGGGTCGGTCTGAGGGGCGGCAGGAAAGGTTTGGCCTTCTCCAAATAACTCTCACAACAGAAAAAAAAAACAGGATCAGCGGAGTATCGCTCTCCATAGGTGGGCACGATCCGTTCCTCCGTTCCTCCGTTCCGGAACGCCGTTACAATTTTTAGGAACGGAGGAACGGACTCGTTACATTTTAAAAAGGGTAACGGACCAAGTAACTTCCGTTACATTGGTTGTTCGTTCCTCCGTTACAAGTTAACAGTTTAGTCCGTTCCTTCGTTCCTCCGTTACTTTTCGTTGTCCGAGCGGGTTGATCTTTCAGCTAACCCACAGACATTAATGCAGCAGCGGAATAGTGGATTATTGAGCAGGCCTGACTTGAAGACGGGAGATGGCCTCAGTGTACAGTGTACTGGCCTTCCGCAATGAGCCGGCGTTGCAGTATATATGTGTTCGCAAAGTTCAACACGGGCGTCCCTTCAAGCGCCTCAGTAGAGCGCATGTTCTCAATGGGAAAAGATGTGCTACGTGCAAAAAGGGCTACCCTCTCAGAAAGTGGCAGCGGAACATCTTCAATTAAGGGAGGGGGGGGGCACTGCCGACTTTTTGTTCCATTCTTTCCATGCAACGCACATAGGGCTAATGTTAAAATGCCAAAATCAAAGGGGGCACGGTGCGCCGGTGCCCCCCCCCCCCCGTTCCGCCGCCTATGCTCTCAGATGCCAACCTGGAACGTCTAGTGTTCGTGAAGTGCAACCGGCATCTGGCCGGGGACAAGTGATGCGCATCAGTACCACCAGACGTTCCAAGGTTTAGTGTCCAATCAGTGCCACTGTCTTGGTAGATTTGGTGGGCATTCCGCTTTCTCGGTAGGTTTAGTTTGTGTCAGAATGGTCTCAAAAATGTTTGAAATACCCAACATTTTAACGTTTTTTATTTTGCTGTAACGGAGTAACGGACTAAAAGAACTTCCGTTACATTATATACAGAGGAACGGAGGAACGAGTAACGGAAGTCACGTTTTGAGGGAACGGAGGAACGAGTAACGAAGTTACAATTTTGGGGAACGGTGCCCACCTATGGGCCTCTCGCAGTCACAAAACTCCGGATTGCTTTGGAGGAGTCATGTGCCGCACAGCCTGACTCCCAACGCCCGCTGCGCCGGAGATTGATCAGCGTTCACTCAGCCAGTGATGTGACGCGGCACAGCCTAACTTCAGGCGTTCGTGGCTAGCGACATCTAGTGACGTGAGTAGATGATAGCGGTACGCAAATCCGCCGCGTGGGTGCGTGGTGATAGTGTACGGCGGCACAGCGTAAGTTCAGGCGTCCGCGGTCAGTGATATCTAGCGGCAATGCTGTCTAACATCGGTACGCGCAGCAGCCGCGTGGTGGCGTGGTCATCAACGGTGTACTGCGGTACAGTGGGACTTCAGGCGCTCGGGACCAGTGACATCTAGCGACGGTGATGTCGGTAAACGTGGCTTATGCGCAGTCTGAGACTGACAGCGACTCCCGTAGACGGTAAAAATTAAAATACGTCCGAACAGGAACAATCACGGAACAATGACATCAAGTTAACCCGCGCCCTGCTGGGGGGTGGGGGGGGGGTGTTTGAACACCCCCCCCCTTGTGGTTTTTCGCGAATATCGCGCCGCCGTTTTTGGTACACCTTATCATACATCAATTCTACACATGTCGTGAAAATTTCCGACCAAGGTCATTTAAGGTCAGGTCACCAGGTCACTTGAAGTGACCTCACCTCATAAAAAGTTTCAATGTCTGTCATAGCTACACCGAGTGACCAATCGCTTTGAAACTTTCAGCGATTGCTAAGAGCAATAGCATGTACAAAATGTATATCTCAGAATTTTGATATCGATGACCTAAGGTCAGGTCAATTTTGCGACCTCCCCATTATAAGTCAATGGGATAAAATTGAAATGCGCCTCTTTTGGACGAAAGACATTATAAACACTCCCAAACACCGAATTACAAGTGGTTTAGACACACTGAACATGAAAATGGTGTCCGTGACCCTTGTTTGTGCCCTGAGGTCATCTTAGGTCACGAATGGTATCTAACAGTTTTTCGCAAATAACTTTTGATAGAGGCATGCTAGAGCGATGAAAACGCTTTATATGTGTTCAGCTCGACGATACGGATCGACTGAAATGCAACATGACCCTTTCCGGTCAGGTCATGACCTTGACCTGAGGTCAATTTTTCAAGTTGACCTTTCAAGGTCAAATTATAGTTCATTCGATGCGTCTTGACGAGAGGAACACGATGCCGGTAAAAGTAAGCTCGTACAAGGCTTGGGTCAAAAGTTATTGCAGAAAAACTTTCCGAAAAAATCGGCTATTTTTGCAGTTTTTGCCCCCTGCAGGCAAAACCGTTGACGTTAGGTCAAAGCTGAGAGAATTACTCAGAAAGGGCGTTAATAGGGCTATCGAATGCACTTTTCCGCGGCGCTGTAGCTCTATTGGTTCCCGAGTTATGCGTTAGCTTCTTGGAAACTTTCGACATTCGACCTGGAAATCGGCGAAATTTTGCCTTCAATGACCTCTGGCGACCTGACCTTTGACCTGACCAAAAAATTGATCGAAGTGATTTCGTCATTATTTTTTACGCTCTTTCGAACGCCGCCTTCCGCGTATCGCTACGTGGCCCAGGAGCCGAGTTACAAGGGGGGTGTTCAAACACCCCCCAGGAGGGCATGGAAATCCAGGACCCCCAGCCGGGCGCGGGTTAAGTTTGCAATGGGAATAATTGACAGTCAGTCTCTCAAGCCTCTCCCCACTCATGCTTCTGCCTTTTGCCTCAGTTGTTGAGAAACCATCGTGTTCTTTGAATAAGCCCCACCAATTTGTCGATAGGATTGGATCGCCTGACATACCGAATCGGTCGTGTCTATACCGAGTGTGTCCAATCTCAAGTGTGTCCAGTGTCCACTCCCGAGTGTGTCTGTCCGTCGGGTGATCGCCGGCGTCAGTCACCGTCTGGCCCTCGGCCGGCCCCTGCACAGTGCCGTATGACGGGGCCGGCTGGTCTGGCGCCGACAGACAGGACCCGGCGGCGGCCGGCGGTCGATAGGTGGTCTCAGCCGCCACGGCCTGTGTCAGTGGCGCAAATGGCAGTACACTGTGAGCTTTTGTGGGACTGCTGGATCTATCTGAGCCATACTACTCAAATTTCAATCAGGATAGATATGGTTTGTGCTCTGTTTGCAGGAATATCAGTGAGGTACCTATTGCGGCTGTGTTAAAGGTATTATTTGTGAAATATTGTCAGGCGTTGATACTGATGCCTGCCACGCAATTTCCACATAACATTGTATTTTTTATTTTTCCATTTGCCCATTGTAAGGATATCTTGTTCTAATGCCGTTTATATACTATTTCGGTGAGGATATTTCGTGTTTTCCATCGAGGCGTTGTGTCGCGAATGCAGTTCTGGATGGCCCCCCCCCGTGCCAGTTCTGGATGGCCCCCCCCCTTCGGACCGTTCGTGCCTCTGAGGGCCCCTAGGCGTTGAGTTACTTGAGTTCAGTGGCATTACCTCACCAGTCTGTGAGGCAGTCTATCAGGCATCCTCCGCAGTCTGTCGGACTCCCAATTTTCAGTCGGGTATCTACCCTCCGCAGTCCTCTCTCGGTCTGACCTCACTGGTCCCTCGCCGCTCCTCCTGCCGCCGGCCGGGTCCGGCTCTGGGCTGTTTCTGTTTGTTGCCGTCCCGCTATCTCCCTGGCCTCTCCGTCTATTGTGTCTGTCCCCGCCCGGCCCCCGCCGCGGCCGGACTCCATTGTTCGCCCCCGGAGGAAGTCCTGTCGCGCCGGCCGTCGGCTGCTGTCGGTCAAGGTCGCACTATTGACCTCCGAAGCGGCGGCGACGCACGGGTGAAGTCCCACAACGTCCGGCCCCGGCTGGCCGGGAACCTTCACTGGTGGGATACCGTACATATGCCCGTTTTTTGTGATAAGTTTATGTCTATCGGGGTGTCAGTTTTTATGTGTTCTTGTGCTAATTTTGTTTCCGTTTATGTTCTTCCATTATAATTGCGATATCGAACAATATTCGTTGTTAGCGTTACACATCGACGCGCTTACAAACACCATTAACCCGATTCCAGCGCGGGTGCGTCGACGTCGGTCCCGCATTCTTCTACCCTGTTCCGAACTTAATTATGAAGCTGTCATTTTATGTAAATCAGACATTTTTTATTGCAATTTAGTATGTAACTTATATGCACCTACCTATACGTATAAACGGCATCTTTGGAACATTAGGGATCCGCCAAGCTTCAACTCAGGACATTTATGTAGGTTATTCCACGGTGACTGGTTATTCGTTGAATGTCGGACTCCACCAGATCCGGTTGCACTCCTTTAAACAATATAGTCGACGATAAATGTCCCATCTTGACATCCAGGCTGGAATAGTCTGGCGGTGGCCGGTAAGCGTATGTTGTGTTGTCATAAAACGTGCACTGCCTGAGTGCTGGACGGCTAACTCGTTTAGAAGCCTAATTCCGATTTTGTATTGTTATTGTAGCTAGATATGATTTGTATCAAGGAAAATGATGAGTACTGCGAAGCTTTGGGATATGTATTTTTAACAAGGAGGCGCTAAGCCTCAACAGGCGAAGAAATAACGTCAATGATCACCACCACCATGCCGAACAGCCAAAGTCTGTTCAATTTTTTAAGCGACTTGTAATTCCACATACAAGTTTGGTCATAAACGTCCGAGATCACCGGATTTTAGTCAAGCAACCGATTCTGTTAAACCTGGAAGCTAGTTCTCACTTCCGCTCCAAAGCCTTCGTAATTTGATATTGTTAGTCTTGATTAGTTCCGACTCCGCCGAAGCCCACAATATCGTCGTTTCAAACCATGGGTCTCGATTCTTCCATGTCGGATGACAAAACTTCTTCTGGCTTTGTTCCTGGTGGAAAGAAAATGCGGCTGCCGCTACTTTCCCGAGTTTTCTAAGTGTTATGGCTGTCCTTTTCTACGCCATTTCCGTTTCTCGACTGTTCCATGGGACGAGAGTGTTCTCTCTGAGTGGTCGTATAGAGGCTCTGTCCGCGGCGACGCCGTCTCCCCTGCCCCAGATCGGAGTCGCAGTGTTTCCGGAGCGGGTGGCTCGCCCCGTGACGGCCCTCGGCAAGGCCGGAGGTATTCGCGACTGACTCACCGCTGGCCGGCCTGGCGCGAGCCACTGAGAATCAATGACGTCACGGCTCTGAGAGCACGCCACGCCAAACACCGGCCATCCAGGTGGGCTGGGGGTGGGTGAGCGCGAGACCGACCAACTCTGCCGGTCCACGGGGTCGCTGGGTCCGCGTCCGTGGTCGCCACTATTCGATTTGTATAATGTGGCATTTCAAGAAACTGGCTGTCCTAGCTGGGAGTCAGATCCATGTCATTCTTGGTATTTTAGCAAAGGTGAGATGTCAGTGTAAGGCTTGCAGTAATCCCATCTCGTCCTGGTTCTCCGCGTCTAGCGAGCTGTGCGATTTCGGTCGCTGTCGCTACGCGGCCGGCGCCGTGCGATCAGGTGACAGTCCTGCGGGACTCACCGCTGGGTCACGTGACCAGCGGTGTCGGCCCGGCCGCCACGGCGCAGGCGTCTGCCGACCGACGCGTCGGCATCGGCGGCGGCGCCAGTGGCCTCTGGAGCCGTGCCGCCGCCGCCGTCCGCCGCGCCGCCTCCCCGAACAGAGCCGCTCTCGGAGGGACCGACTCTCAGTGGTGCGTCTGAGGCAGCGGGCGCCGGTCGAGTGGGCAGCCTGTGTGTGTGTCTCGGAGCGGACTCTCTCTGTGCCTCTGTGACTGTACTCGGCGCGGTGCCACTCAGCCCTCGCGGCCACACCCGGGGCCATTGATTTCGGAGCGGCGCCGGTCGGCGCCAGACGGTCGGTGGTCGGACCGCGCCGCGATGGCCGCCCGGTGAGCGCCCAGCCGGCCGCAGCACTGGACGCCAGGCAGGAGCGCAGGGCCGGCATGTGTGACCGCGTCAGTAAGGCCGGACTCATCTCGGCGGTGAAGACGCTGACGCGCCGGCCCGGCTCGCGCAAACGCTCCGGCAGCCGGGACAGCTCGCTGGAGAAGCCTCATGACCAGGACGAGCAGCCAGGTGGGGTGCCGAGAGGGGGTGACTGGGCGAGGAGGGGCGGGTGTGGGTAGGGAAGGTGGGGTCTGATAAAGTCGCTTAGGTCGGGATTTACTGAAGAAGGAGATGGCGCTCAGTTGCACAATGTCCAGCTTAGCTCCATGT